ACATACAGATTCAATATATTTATATATAATCTAACATAAATTCTATATGTCATCTATCTATCTCAGGGGTGGGCTTCAAAAATTTTAGCAACAGGTTCTCTGCCCGGTTGATGGATGGGCGTGGCCTAGTCAGCCTCTTGCATCATGGGGGGGGGGCGTTTTTGCCCTCCCTGGGCCCCAGAGGCTTTCCTCAAGCCTCCGGGAGGGCGAAAACAGCCTCCCTGGGTTCCGGAGGCTCTCTGGAAGCCGAAAATAGGCCCTTTCCAGCCTTCTCGAACTTCCAAGAGGCCTGTTTTTCACTCTCTATGATCCTCCTCGTGTGCCCTGTACTTAGCTGTATCCAAAACGGGCCGCGGGAGGGACAGGGGAGGCAGCCAAGAGTAGGATTTGGGGGTTCTCCAAACTGTGCAGAATCTTACCTAGAGGGTCTCCCAACCCCTTGCAAACTCTCAGCAGCCCACCCTTGATTTATCTACCTACCTACCTACCAACCTATCTATCTATCTATCCACCCATCCATCTAAGTTTGGAGGATCACAAACGTGAATGCATAAATAATACACATATCAGCTACATGCTAGTCTTACAATGAGTTTTCACTCCTTATTCAAAGAGAATCTGTATCTTCTTCTAGGGCCAAGGGAATTTGGATCCCGAAAGCCTCAGGTTTCACGTCAACCTATTTCCAAACTACCAACCCCATACAATCCAGATCATTGCGACTCCAAATTTTCATTTGATGCTGTGACAATGCTGGGGAAAGAGTTACTTTTCTTCAAAGACAGGCAAGTGTCTTTTCTTTATCCAAGGTCCCAGTGACAGTAGAATATTACCAGTTTGATTTCTAGAAGAGGAATACGGTCCTGTTTTTTTTTTAAGGAAGGCCAGTTTCTAGCTGTATGAACCAGATATAGCCATTTAAGTTCAAATTCCCTTTTGGGGAATAAAGGCAACATCCCCTTTGACAAGATTGTTTCACACACAACTCTTGGTTCTGAAAAAAAAAAACATCTAAAACTCCGCTCTTTCAGCTTCCTGCTGTGGAATGACTCAACAATTTTGCCATTAGACATGACTTCAATGGTGTCTAGTAGAGAAAAAGGAGCGGGATACACAATGACTCACATAAAGATGTTTTTTCTGTGCTGCCTGTTCTCACACTTCTAGAAATAAAACATCAATAAAATACAGAATCAAGCCCTTAAAAGCAATCAATGCTATTACTAAAAACTGTGACTAAAAACTGTTGTTACAGAATATCCCCCCCTGAAGAGTATTGTTTTCACCATTTTGTAAAAGGCCATTCAGCATATCTATCTTGGGCAGGTAAATTGATCCAGAGTAAGGGGGCTAATGCTGAGAATATCGTTCTCTGGGTCTCAGCCCCCCAATCTCTATCTGACTGGATCCTGGAGCATCCTCTCCTTACTAGATTGTGTAGGGCAGATAGATTCTATCTGAAAAAGGCAATCCATAGAGGAGTTTATAGGTAAGCAGCAGTCCCTTGGCTCAGAAATCTACTATCAGTCAAGGCTGGGTCTGCCGGACAAGTGTCATTCAACTGACTAGCCAATGCTAGGCCACATTCTAGGCCAAGGGTGTCAAACTGGATTTCTTTGAGGGCCGGATCAGCACTGTAGTTTTCCATGGGCCGGATGGGGAAACAGCCTGGACGGTCTCCTGCAGCATTTTGCACCCCTCCTCCCCATGCCCCATTTTGGCTGGCAGAGTGCTGCAGGAGGCCGTCCAGGCCAAAAACGGGTCTTTGCTATTTCCAGGCTGGCCCCACAGGCCAAATTTAGGCACCTCACAGGCTGGTTCCGGGCCTTGAGTTATTCTAGGCCTTCTTCAGCTTTGTGTCATGTTCAAACGCAGCCCTGCACAAGACAAATTGCAGTAGTCTAAATAAGAAGGTACAAGAGTATGAATTATTGTTTTGGCATCTCAGCAAAGTGTTCATTTTCTAGATGATAACATGACCATTTTTTTGTCTGTGTTGTGTGTGTAGTCTGTGTAGAGATGTGGGTGGATGAGTACTATGGTGCAATACTAGGAAAATAAAGATAAAACAATCCCAATCCCCATTTTTCTCTGAATTTCAATAAAGGTCTTGGGGGCAAGGGCAAGGAAATTACTTTTATTTGAATCTTTCTGTTATTTTTCATCTCTAATTTTCGACCCCTCTTTTTAAACCAAGACAATAGGTATAAAATTCTGCCTTAATACAACCAAATTAGAATTAGAATTTCTTTGTTTATATTGGTTTTGCTTGCTTTCATTTTATTTTGGGAACTGCTTTGCAACCAAAATTATTGGTCAGAATCATCTTCTAGTAGTGAACCGAAATCCTAACTTCCCAATGTTAAAACTTCCTTCAAGGTAAACAATAGACAACACATTGTTTATGAATACCATATCCTCCGGACACTTCCTTTCCAGACTTCTTATTTTCCCTCAATTTTTAATAGATATGAGGGGTGGATTTTGACCTCACCCTACTGTTTCCTCAGTAACATTTTTAGAAGTGGTTTGCCATTGCCTCCTTCTTCCTAGTGCTGACACATAATGACCAGCCCAAATTCACTTCTGCATGAAGCAGAAGTAGAATTCTGGTTTCATACTGTATATATAAAGGGGAGGCAAAACTTGAAATGCATAGTTGCATCTATCACATTGGCCTTTTGGCTTCTCTCTGGATGCCCCTAATTCTCATATTGGTTAGCTAGGTGGTTAAATGTGTATTTGTGATTGATCAAGCTCAACATAGCATCTATTTTATGAATAAGCAAGCTTCCCATAGAGTTCTTTTGCAAGCTCATCACCATGTCCTGCCAAAAGTCCCAGGGGATGTTTGCTGTGCAGTAAACATCCTCTTTCTTCTTCTTCTTCTTCTTCTTCTTCTTCTTCTTCTTCTTCTTCTTCTATTTCTCCCTCTCAACAGGTACTTCTGGAGAAGGCAGGCTCAACTCACAAGCCATGTGCAACCACTCAGCATTACCAGCTCTTTTCCTCAGCTCATGTCAAATGTGGATGCAGCCTACGAAATAGCTGAGAGAGGCATCGCTTTTTTTTTCAAGGGTCGGTTAATTTTGAAAACATTTGGAGTTGTTTTCTTAGAAAACTTGATCTGTGAATGCATATTCATCATTTGTGTAATGGTAACCTTTAACCAAGGTTCTAGTTTACCTTAAAATCAGTCTTGGGTGAAAGACTGCTATTAACTATGCTTCTGCCCCATATAATTACCAGGCCTGTACTGGCAGTACAGTGGACGCTGAGATAAAAGAAAATTTCTACTTGCCGTTGCTCTTTTTCAGTCACAAGCAGGAAACATTGCATTTCCCTGATGAATTATGTTCGACTTATAGACAATCATCTAACGCTATATTATTTTGAAGGAGGTTCTGGAGAAAAAGTGTCAATAATAACGAAGACTGCTGTTTTGCAGCAATCAACACCCAGATTAACCCCAAGATTAACACTAAGTCAGGGGTGCCAGTTGCAGCCCATGGAGTGTTTAGATCTGGTCCATGGGGCCACTCTGGAAAGAGCAAAGGACTGACCCACAGTACCTGCCAGTGAAAATGGAGCATGGGAGGGCTGTGTGCAGCCCTCCCAAGCTCCATTTTAATCTGCAATGGCCTCCTGCAGCCCTCTGGCAGCAAAAGCAGAGCCCGTGAGGGCCACATGAGGCCTTGCCAGGCTCCATTTTCACTGGCAGAGGGCTGTCACAGCCAAAAACGGAGCCCAGGAGGGCCACACGCAGGCTTCAGGATGTCAAGCTGGCCACACCCATCCTGGCCACACCCACCCCAGCCACACTAACTTGGCTCCCCTGAGGTCAAACACAACCCTGATTTAGCCCTCAATGAAATTGAGTTTGACACTCCTACACTAGAGTGTTAAGAGTGTTAACTAGACTGTTAATCAGGCAGTAAAGAATACCCCAATCAAGGAACTACCCATTTAGACAAACAATTGAACAGTAAACAACAGCCTAATCAAGGAACTATGAAGAAGAAAACAGTACCTCCACCAGTACCTACACCAGAGCAAGCTTTTTGTATATAAACCGAGAGTAAGCCCAACTCCCTTCTAGCTGTGATGGTGTTACTGAGGGTGTTGCCTAATGAAACAACTGCAAAGCAAAAGCCAAACCCAGAGAGCACAAAGGAGCCCACTATATTTTGATGTGCTTCTACTATTATGATTGGCCGCACAGTTAGCCAGGCGCTTAGACTGGGTTTGATATTTTTGTCTGCTTAGCGAGTCTTTCCCAAGGAGCTGGGCTAGGCAGAGGTTGTGGTCTGATAATATTAAAGGAATCATTGAGTCATGGTGCTGCAGTGGTTAGAGTGCAATACTGCAGGCTACTTCTGCTAACTACCTGCAATGTAGCAGTTCAAATCTCACCAGGCTCAAGGTTGACTCAGACTTCCATCCTGCTGAGGTGAGTAAAATGAAGACCCAAAATTGTTGGGGCCAATAGGCTGACTCTATAAACTGCTTAGAGAGGGCTATAAAGCATTATAAAGCGGTATATAAGTTTAAATGCTATTCTTATTGCTATTGCAAAATGTAAGCTGCTCCAAATAAAGCTGCCTTTTGTAATTGACATAATAGTACTATTAATAATTGTTGTTATTCTACTTTGCATCATTATTTGAAGTTGCTTAGTGTGAAATTTGTAAAAATCAAAACTGCAGCTTAGAAGACGAGGGTGCCACCAACATCTACGCCAAAGGGCACAATTGTTACTCTGTTTTTAACACCTTGCAATAGGTCCGTGAAAGTTTCAGTTTTGTTCAGACTGAGTCAAAAATTGTGAAAACTAATCATGGCAGATGATCACACAGGTTTGCATTGATTCCAGAGCAGTGAAGAAACTCTGTGTGGAAGTGCTTGAGGATATCCTATTAAATATTAGAATTTCAAATTACTAGTGCAAGGTTATGTAGGGTCATTATATTTATTCATTTTTATTTATTTATTTTTGCCAGGTCCTCATTATTGGACAACACAGGGTTTCCACATGCAGGGTCCTCCTCGGTCTATCGCAGATTTTGGATTTTCTAGAAATGTGCCATACATAGATGCAGCTGTCTACCTGAAAGATGAAAAGAAGACCCTCTTCTTTGTAGAAGATGAATTTTACAGGTTTATTGTCTCCTAATAAAAATAGCTTTTAAAATAATCATGAAATTTTGTTCCTTAGTGCTGAACGAGGGACCATGGGGAAAATATCTTCTTGTTAATATTACTTAATATTGCCTCAGCCAGTAAAAGGGATACCCCACATCTATTTTTGCTAACATACAGAAAGGTGTGATTGTACCCTTAATTACACAACTTTTACATTTCTCATTGTGATAGGATCGTTTCTTTCCTGACGTGCCTTGAAATTTCTTCTTTCTTTATCAGTTTACAACTGGGAAAGATGCATACGTGTCAAATACAGATTTCCTTACAGGAATCAGATTGAAACTGGATTTTTCCTGGATTAATTACTTATGAACTGAGCAATCATGTCTTGCCAGAAAATATGTTGAAATAGCATAGGAACATGATTTTAATCAATGAGTAGCATTTAAAAACTTGTCCCTAATAAGCAAATATTGATTCAGTTCCTTTTGCAAAACCTTTCACGTTAATCAAAGATGATGTTCAAAGAAACAGACAGGTCATGCCACAAATGGACAAATGCAGGGCACCAAATATCTAATTAAGATTAGTGAAAATAGAATTAAGAATTAAGATCTATTAAGAACAGATAAAGGTAAATATTTCCTTCACATACACATACATATTTGCTATAATTCTCTGCTTGGAGGTATGATAATGACTAAGATGCTATTGTCAAAAGTTGTGCAGATTCAAAGTGTGTATATTTAGAAAAAAGGCAAAGGCAAAAGGCAAAGAAAAAAGACTTAATTAAACCCTGTGATATTGCAAGAATTATAGCAAAATTAATTTCCAAGTTCACCACAACCGTTATGTAACATTTATTTCAAAACATTACATCTATACATAGAACTTCTTCGTTATAATGTTCCTTTTTTTCAAGCTATGATGAAACAAAACGAAAGATGGACAAAGACTCCCCAAAGACCATTGAGGATGAATTTTCAGGAATTAATGGTCGAATAGATGCTGCTGTAGAAGTTAATGGTAAGTATTTTCTCTGTCATGTGATTTGTTTCAAGCATGTTTTTAAAGCATTCTTGTTAAAAACTCTTGCCATTTAATTTTTCTGGATGTTTTTCATGACATCTTTGTTTTTGATTTTCAAATCGTACTTTCTTTACATCGTACATACATTTACTCTAGAGTATGTATTTTTCTCATCCTCCTTTTATTCATGATATAATATTGTAGAGTAATTAGGTCAATAGGCCAAACTCAATGAATTAGTTATTAGACAGGGGAGGGCAGGGGGAGGACTTAAAAATGGATTTCCTATTCCCAAGGCAAGTCCAAGAACTGCCCATGATAGTTGGGATTGATTGATGATTGGTTGGTTGGTTGATTGGTGGATTGGATTGATTGATTGATTGATTGATTGATTGATTGAATGTATAGCTGTCCTGACTTACAAAGACCTACAATTAAGCAAGCAGCAAGCTATTATATATGGGAAAGGAAAGAGAGAGAATGAGAAATGTACAAAAGATGTTGAGACTCTAGAAAGATTGCAGAGAAGAGCAACAAAGATGATTAAGGGACTGGAGGCTAAAGCATATAGAGAACAGTTGCAGGAACTGGGTATGTCTAGTTTAATGAAAAGAAGGACTAGGGGAGACATGATAGCAGTGTTCCAATATCTCAGGGGCTGCCAGAAAGAAGAGGGAGATAAGCTATTCTCCAAAGCACCTGAGGGCAGGACAAGAAGCAATGGATGAAAACTAATCAAGGAGAGAACCAACCTAGAATTAAGGAGAAGTTTCCTGACAGTGAGAACAATTAATCAGTGGAACGACTTGCCTCCAGAAGTTGTAAATTCTCCAACACTGGAAGTTTTTAAGAAGAGATTGGATAACCATTTGTCTGAAGTGGTGTAGGGTTTCCTGCCTAAGCATGGGGTTGGACTAGAAGACCTCCAAGGTCCCTTCCAACTCTTTTATTCTATTCTAACTAACCAACATACAAAAATATATTCAAAACAAGACCAAAACAAAACAAAGCAGTACAAGGGGGTTCCAAAATCACTCTGTTCCCCAAGGGAGAACAACCACTTCTTTATTAGTTTCCCAAATGACATATTCTGGAACTCACTGTCCCAACACAACAGATACTCCATCAAAGAAGGCTGATGGAGTAGCAAAAAAATGCCTTTAATGTAATTAAAATTCTTTTGGTTTGCGGTTGTATATTCCTTTATAAATTAAAAAAAATGACTTAATAGAGTTTGTAGATAGAAATATCATGACCCAGTATTGTATAATCTATGATAGATTGGCTATATCCCAATCCTAATAAATAACAAAGTCTGCACTACTATTACTGTTAATCTTCTCATCACTCCTTATCACCCATCCCCTCCCACTTGTGACTGTATGACTGTAACTTTGTTGCTTGTATCCTTACGATTTATACTGACTGTTTCCTAGTATGATTTCATTGCTTATTGTACCCTATGACTATTATTAAGTGTTGTACCTTATGATTCTTGACTCTTGACACGTGTATCTTTTCTTTTATGTATACTGAGAGTATTTGCACCAAGACAAATTCCTTGTGTGTCCAACCACACTTGGCCAATAAAGAATTCTATCTATCTATAACAATAGACATTTCTTTGAATCTGTCTCTTCCTTTTTTTTTTTTTTCCTTTTTTTTTTTAGGCTTCATTTACTTCTTTTCAGGCCCCAAAGCCTATAAATATGACAGAGAAAAGGAAGATGTGGTTAACGTTGTGAAATCCAGCTCTTGGGTGGGCTGCTGATCTAAAGTGACCATAAAGAGGATGACAAATGAGCCAGCTGATGCAGAAACCAAGGCATGATCAACCAGAAGGAAAGAATTGCAGTCCCTCTGGTTTTATATTTAGAAAAATGACTACAGAGCACCGTGTTGTAGCTCAAATCCAGTGAAGAAAAGAAAGCAAAAGAAAACAATTCAAAGAATAGAATTTCAGTAACTATGATCATTCCCAATTCAGAGATGGCCAAATCAATTGAATACGTCATTAGAAATCCTTACCTGATACGTTCAGATAAAATGAAGAAGTGATAACATCTGTATTTTCTTATCAGATGCCGTTCCCTTGCTTCTATGCCTTTTCTAAATAGCCCCAGGTGATTATGTTATGTTTTTATCCATAATTCCTCATCAACAGCATGTATTAATAACACAATCCTCCAGAGGATATGATGTGGCCAGTGTGTACCATTGTTGGTTTGTGACAGAAGCCAGAGTAAGGGACATTAGTGACAACAGTCCTCAAATGTCTGACATTTTTGAGGCCAAAAAAAAATTGTCCACCAGTTTCCAAAGCCTCTTAAGCCTTCCCCAGTTCATTTTTTTTCTTTCTCTTTTCTTTCTTTTTTTCTCTTTGAAACAATCTTTGACTGTTGGACATTTCCTGGACAAGTCCCTGTGCCAAGCATCCAGAAAGTATTCAAAGCTGACACCCTGCAGCTTTCTTGGCAAGATTTCAAAGTGGTTTGCCATTGCCTTTTTCCTAGGGCTGATACAATGACTGGCCCAAGTTCACCCAGTTGGCTTCATGCCTGGATAGGACCAGAGCTCAAGGTCTCGTGATTTCTAGCCTTAACCACTAACCAAATGGCTCTTCCCCAATTCATTACCTGCAAGAAAATTTTGGAGGGTGTAAGTATTCCTCAAGAGAACTGTTTTGAGCTTTGTTTTTACAGTTTTAGAACTATGCTCGACTCCGAAGAAGATTGTAAACTTCTTGATTCTAACAGGATATTATGTTTCTTCTGAGAACAGGTAGAACAAATACCATTTCTTGTCTGGAACCAATGTACTTGCTTGCCTTTGTGTTTGAGGAGCTGTAAACCCTTCCAGTGGTGCTCCTTTTCCTTCCACGAGTAAAAGAACATTCAAGGAGGATTATTTGTTGCAGGAAAGGGTTTGTGTGATTAATCTCAAAGCCTAATTCTGACATTTTTGCTGTTTTTGATAGATGTGCATTTTGGGGCCCACCAGTTAATCTACTTAACCAAAACTGGTACAAGTTTCCAAATTAGTCATGAATGTTTACAGAGTTGTCCACAGGGGGAAATGTCAAAAATTCAAGATGGCAGCCACAACCATGAAATCAAAGCGCCACTTTTTATACGTGCTTTAAAGTATCTAAGAATTTAATCATTATTATTTAATCCTTATTATTGCTCTCAAATTACAGAACAGAGAATAACAAAATTGGAAGGGACTTTGGTCTTCTAATCTTCTAATCCTCTGCTTGAGCAGGAGACCCTATGCTGTTTCCGACAAATTTATTTAAATTGTCTATTTTGTATTTTATATTGTTCTATTTGAAGAAAAAAAATCTATTTGAGGATAATTTATTGTAGATAAATACTGAACAAAAATAATAAAACAAAATTACACGAATAAACTATCTGCAGAGTAAAAGCAATGGTCCTTAAATGAGATTTAATTTAACTATATCAAGCCTAAATTAAATATATAATAACTTTATATTACTATATGGATACCAAGGGCCAAACCTCATGTTTGCTTTTTAATTTGTTTTTGTTTGGTTTGAGGGTTTGTTTGTTTGTTTCTGAATATCAGCTCCTGGAAAATAATCCACTAAAAATAATGACAGAGGTTAGAACTATGAAGTGGGTGGGGGAAAACATATGCCTTGTGAACAACTCCTGCCAATCAAATAAGTTTCATGACAATTGTGAATTTGGGACTGTTCTGATATAGAACCAATACAAAAAACTACTTTGGAAAGGGAACAATTTGAACTATTGTACAATCCCATGAAAGCTGTGTTTTTACTGTATATAAAATATTGTTTTATAGATCATCATTTACTGGGTTATTGTCGTTTATTTTGGTTTCTTTTTCTTTTTTTCAATTTTCCTGTAAAGAAATTAGAACATTGGAATGGTTGCTCCTTCCTTTCTTTTTTCACAAAGAATTGATAGATAATTAAACTATGTGATTTGCCCCAGTTCAAAAAGTTATCTTTCTGCGTGAAAGTGGATCAGAATGCATTCTCACACATTTTTTCCCTTTATATTAACATAGCTACTATCTGCCATATAATGAAGAACCATATGGGTACAATGTAATTTAAACTTCCCCCTTCTTCTTTCCCCTTTCCTTTCTTATCATAAATCACACTGCTTTACTTTATTCCAGTCTGACACAATCCAGGTTTGATTATAAATAGTAACATTTCTAATCAGATTAAAATATAATTACTTATTGAATACAAACCACTGGTATGATACAACTGCAAAAATACTGCATTGATAGAAGCATGATTTACAAATTACAGGAGGTTCCACCCGGGGGGGGGGATTTGAAAATCCCAGCAACCGATTTGCTGCCTGGTTGCTGGGTGGGCGTGGCCTACCGGAATATCCAGGAGGGCCATTTTTCACTTTCCCCAGGGTCCAGAGGCTTCCTTTGGGCCTCTGGAAGGGTGAAAATGGCCTCCCCTGGGGTCCGGAGGCCCTCCAGAACCCAGAAACAGGCCCGTTTCTGGACTTCCAGAAGGCCCATTTTTCGCCCTCCCAGAGCCTTCATGTAGACCCTGCATCCAAAATGGGCTGCGTGGAGACTCCTTGGAGGGGTGGGGTGGGGTGGGCATGGCCAGCCGGTCGGTTCAACTACCGCTTCAGTGAACCAGATGTAAATTTAACATACGGTTCACCCGAACCAGTCCCAATCGGCTGAATCCCACCCCTGGTTCCACCTGTTTTGTAATATGCTACCTGTTCTAACATATGCCAGTGAAACATGGACGCTAACCTCACAATCAATACAAAAGCTATGAGTGGCGCAAAGAGCCATGGAAAGATACATTCTTGATGTCACTGGACAAGATAGAAAGACCTGCAAGTGGATTAGAAAACAAACAAAAATATACGATGTCATCAAAAGAATAAAAGAATTGAAATGAAAATGGGCTGGTCATACAGCGAGAAGAACTGATGGCAGGTGAGCCAAGGCAGTCACGGAATGGATTTCACTTGATAAAAAGCGTCCACAAAAGAGACTTAAAATAAAATGGAGTGACGACATCAGCAAAGGAAAGCTCAAGACTCTTTAGAGATTCTCAGTCATCCAGATCATGGTTGTCCCAAAGGTGCTTTTTTAGGAGGCAACTGTACATATTGTACAGTTGTACAACTGTGCAACTGTACATATCACACTACTAACTAGAGCATACAAAACATTTGCTAGACCAGTACTTGAATACAGCTCATCAATCTGGAACCCGCATTACGTATTTGATATTAATACAGTTGGGAAAGTCCAGAAATATTTCACAAGAAGAGTTCTCCACTCCTCTACTCATTGCAGAATACCTTATGCCACCAGACTTGAAATTCTAGACCTAGACAACCTAGAACTACGCCGCCTTCGGTCCGATCTAAGTATAGTACATAAAATTATATATTGCACTCTCCTACCTATCAATGAATACTTCAGCCTCAACCACAACAATATATGAGCACACAATAGATACAAACTCAAACTAAACCGCACCAAACTTGATTGCAGGAAATACGACTTCAGCAACAGAGTGGTCAGTGTCTGGGAAACTCTGTGGTTTCTTCCCCAAACCCCAAAAACTTTAACCTTAGACTGTCTACTATTGACCTCACCCCTTTCCTAGAGGGCGTGTATAAGCACACCAACGTGGCTACTGTCCCTGTCCTATTGTTTCTTTTTTTTTCTTATATGTATCCATTTCATGTATTCATAACTATGTTTATACTTATGCCTGTTATTGTATAATAGTTTGATAAAATAAATAAATAAAAAATATGGCTTGGACTTCATGCATAAAAGATCTCTACATTTTATGGGAAAAAAAACTACATTACATGAACATTGACTTAAGGGGTCCTTGGTGCTCTCTGAGCTTGTTTGTTTTCTTGAAGACAGCCTGTAGAGATTCTCAGTCATCCAGATCATGGTTGTCCCAAAGGTGCTTTTTTAGGAGGCAACTGGACTTTCTTGTTTTTTCTTTTGAGGATGTTTTGTTATCATCCAAGAAGCTTCTTCAGCTCTGAAAGAATAATGGGGAATGGAAGGATTTATATCCCTTGCAGACAGCTGGTCGTTTGCATCCTTTTAAAGGGTCATTGAAGCACTTGGAGGTTTATCTGTGTTCTCAGGGTCACCTGTGGTCCTGTAGTCTGCAATTTTTCCCCTCTGGAAATCAGGCCATACTCCCACACTATTCAAAGGGTGTTCATCTCAAATTGTATAGCTAAAAGTCTGTAGAGATTCTCAGTCATCCAGGTCATGGTTGTCTCAAAGATGCTTTTTCAAGAGGCAGCGGGACTTTCTTGTTTTTCTTTTGAAGACGTTGGATGAGAAGCAAAACATCTTCAAAATAAAACCAAGAAAACACCTTTGGGAAGGTTCAAGTCTGTATTGGTTGGAAACATGTGGAAGAGGTCTTCATCCTGCAGTGGCTAGACAATGGCTAGAATGATGATGATGATGAATAGTTCCACCTAAGATCTAGTATTATACTAAGTTCTTCCATATTCTAAGAAGAATTCAAATAAGTGGGAAAAGAGCAGAGAAAAACAAAGTGGTCAGTCAGAACATAGGATACTAAGTTTTTAAGAGAGGGATTGAAAGACTGAAGTGTTTTGAGAAGAAAAAACTGAGAAGAGACAGGGTAACACTAATCAAATATCTTCAATAATGTTACATAAAAGATCAAGACCTCCCCTAAATCGTCCCAAAGCAGACACAGACACTACCTAGAAT